GCAGGCGGCCCGGAGAGCAGAAGCAGCCCTGCCGCCGCGTTGACCCCTTTTCGTGGCCGGCTGTTGGGAGGAGCGGGACCCCCCTTCCCAATGCCGTTGCCGCAAAGCGCGGCTGAGCGGTGAAGAAGACCTCCTCCTCCTCCCCTCCTTGCTCTCGCCCGGCACCGGCGTTGCCCTCGAGGGGGGGGGCGCGGGCGGGGGTGCGCGTGAGGGTCTCTGTGTCTGTCCGCGTGGTTCCTGGCGCTGCCCTGCTGTGGGCGATGATGATGATGATGATGGGCCGGGCAGCCGCGGGCGCAGGAAGGAGGCGGCGGACCCCCCCGCTGGGCCTGGCGCTCTTCCTGGGCGCCCTTTGGGGAGCGGCAACGCCAGGCGCCCGGGCGCAGCCCTACCACGGCGAGAAAGGGATCTCGGTGCCGGACCACGGCTTCTGCCAGCCCATCTCCATCCCGCTCTGCACCGACATCGCCTACAACCAGACCATCCTGCCCAACCTGCTGGGCCACACCAACCAGGAGGACGCCGGGCTGGAAGTGCACCAGTTCTACCCGCTGGTCAAAGTCCAGTGCTCGCCGGAGCTCCGCTTCTTCCTCTGCTCCATGTACGCGCCCGTCTGCACCGTCCTGGAGCAGGCCATCCCGCCCTGCCGCTCCCTCTGCGAGCGCGCCCGGCAAGGCTGCGAGGCGCTCATGAACAAGTTCGGCTTCCAGTGGCCCGACACGCTGCGCTGCGAGAAGTTCCCCGTGCACGGCGCCGGCGAGCTCTGCGTGGGCCAGAACCTCTCCGAGCGCGGCACGCCCACCCCCTCGCTGGGGCCCGAGTTCTGGACCAGCCACCCCCAGCTGCTGCGGCCCGGAGGAGGAGGCGGTGGGGCCCCTACTTGCCCGGGCCCCCTTTCTACCCCCTGCCCCCGACCAGCTACGCCTTCTCCTGCCCCCGCCAGCTCAAGGTGCCCCCTTACCTGGGCTACCGCTTCCTGGGCGAGCGGGACTGCGGGGCCCCTTGTGAGCCCGACATGCCCAATGGGCTGATGTACTTTAAGCAGGCCGAGGTGCGCTTTGCCCGCCTGCTGGTGGGCATCTGGTCCGTGCTGTGCTGCGCCTCCACCCTCTTTACGGTCCTGACCTACCTGGTGGACATGAGGCGCTTCAGCTACCCAGAGCGGCCCATCATCTTCCTCTCCGGCTGCTACTTCATGGTAGCCGTTGCCTACGTGGCCGGCTTCCTGCTGGAGGACAAAGTGGTCTGCGTGGAGCGCTTCTCCGAGGACGGCTACCGCACGGTGGTGCAGGGCACCAAGAAGGAAGGCTGCACCATCCTCTTCATGATCCTCTACTTCTTCGGCATGGCCAGCTCCATCTGGTGGGTCATCCTCTCGCTCACCTGGTTCCTGGCGGCCGGCATGAAGTGGGGCCATGAAGCCATCGAGGCCAACTCCCAGTACTTCCACCTGGCCGCCTGGGCCGTGCCAGCCATCAAGACCATCACTATCCTGGCCATGGGGCAGGTGGATGGGGACGTGCTCAGTGGCGTCTGCTACGTGGGCATCTACAGCGTGGAGGCCCTGCGGGGCTTCGTCCTGGCCCCACTCTTCGTCTACCTCTTCATCGGCACCTCCTTCTTGCTGGCTGGCTTCGTCTCCCTCTTCCGCATCCGGACCATCATGAAGCATGACGGCACCAAGACGGAGAAGCTGGAGAAGCTCATGGTGAGGATCGGAGTCTTCAGCGTCCTCTACACCGTGCCGGCCACCATCGTGCTGGCCTGCTACTTCTACGAGCAGGCTTTCCGGGACGCGTGGGAGAAAACCTGGCTCCTGCAGAGCTGCAAGAGCTATGCCATCCCTTGCCCTGCCAACTTTGCCCCCATGAGCCCCGACTTCACAGTCTTCCTCATCAAGTACCTCATGACCATGATTGTGGGCATCACCACGGGCTTCTGGATCTGGACTGGCAAGACCCTCCAGTCTTGGCGGCGCTTTTACCACAGACTCAGCACGGGCAGCAAAGGCGAGACGGCAGTATGAGGCTTGGGCTCACCCCCCACTGACCTGTGTTTCCCCCACAAGGCTTGCTCTTTATCTTCTTGTGGAGAAGACATGATTTGAAGGAAAGAGGGGAGGGTGCAGGAGGTGCTGTTAGTGGCCTTTTCTCCTTGTCAAGAAATGAGACCTGTTACAAGGCCGGGGAAATTCCAGCTCGGGGGTTTTCTTGCTAGCCAAGTTGGAGCGCGCAGAATAAGTGTCCTTTCGGCTGCTCTGCGAGACAGAAACAAACCATTTCTGTCTCGGGGAGAATGTCTTTTCTTTCCTCTCCCCTTTATTGTTATTATTGGGTGGTGTATTTTTTTAAAATTAAGGACTGCAGTATCCATTCAAACGATAAGCTGGACTTGTGCCAGGGTTGGAAGATTATGAGAGACACCTGAGAGGAAAAGGGCAGGAGAAAGCATTAAAAAAAACACAAGGTCACATTTGTGTATTTCAGAAGTGTCAGAAGGATAGGCCATTCCCTCCTTTAATAATAATAAACATCTGCCATCAAGTCACTTCTGACTTATGGTGACCCATTTTTTAGGGTTTTCCAGGTAGAGAGTACTCAGAAGTGGTTTATCATTCCTTTCTTCTGGGGGGGGGGTGCCCTGGGACTCTGCAGTTTGCCCAAGGCTGCACAGGCTGGCTTTACTCGCAGGAGGCACGAGGGGGGGGGAATTGAACTCCCAGCCTTTGGCTCCACAGTCAGATACCTTAAACCACTGAGCTGTTCAGTCAGCTCTTCCCTCCATTACCAACAAATTAATTGAACCCACTGACATAATTGAATCCAGGCAGGAACTGAGTCCTGTTTGGCCTGGGGTTTGGGCTAGGATGAGAGGTCATCACCTCTTGTTGATCTGGTCCAGTATTCTGAGGGTGCAGCGAAGAAGTCAGGTAGAGGTAGAGCAGGATGGAAGGTAGTGAAGCCCTCCGAGGTTTTTAGCCCAACATGGCCGCAGGCTGGCTGAGATCCTGCCCGAGAGTTTCCAGCAGTCGGCAAGGCACGCTCGGACAAAGGTTGGCACAAGACAACATTGCCCCAGCAGTTCTCGCAGCCGAGGGTCCCAAGGCAAATGGATTTATGGAAGTGGGATCTTTCGTGGGCTACACGTACGCTACTCCACCAGGCTCATACTGCCATAAATTGGTAGCCACAGGCGCCTTCGCTGTTGATGCAGCAACAAACTCCTTCCCAGGCCTCTTCATGAGGTCCCCCCCCTGTCTGAGAGTTCTGTGGGACTTGCCCGCAAGTAAGTGTGTAGAACTGCGACTTATAAACTCTCACCTTGTGGAAGGCAAGTGTGTTGTGAGTTGAACCTGCATAGGCTCCAGGGAGCTGGAGGGGGGAGGAGAAGAGTATGTGTCTCCCTCTTCATTTTAAGAGCACAGCTTGCCAAGATTTGGGGAGGGGAGGGGGGAAGGGAGGGGAGCTGCTGCCTGCCCAGCCCTCTGAAAAAGAAGTGACATGTTGATTTTCGGCAGAATGCTTTTTACTCTCCTCTCTTTTGTTAAAGGAGACAAAAGAGAAACAAAAGTGTGTTTCTCTTGCAGCAAGGCAGAAGCATGGGATCCATTTTTATGGGGAAAGTTAACAAAAGAATTTGTTGAGGTTCAGCTCTGGAGCTGCTCTCAGCTCCCCCAGCCCCACATTCCTTTTATGAAAATGGAGGGAAAGGAAGTCTCGGGAAGGTCTCCTGTTTAACGGTGAGGAAATCTGAGACTCCCCTCCTCCTCCTTCTCCCCCTCCCTTTTTTCTATGTGTAATGGAGTTTTAATTAAGAACACCTGACAAAACAGCCACCACTGAAATATGTAAAGCAGGCTATATAATATCTCCTTTCTTCCCACAAGGCTGCCATTTCCCCTGTTGGACATATGTAAAAATCACTTTACATATAGAATCAGCCCCCCTCCCCACCATACTATATGTATTGAGTCTCCCTGCCCCCACCCCCCCAGCCCCACCTTGGTCACATTCCAGTGCTCCTGTTTACGTGATTTTCCATTTGATGAAAATGCAGTCTGGTTTTTGAAGTGCTTCTAACTCTGGACTGGATTGGGGCCGCATTGCTTTCGAAACAAGGACCCTCACAGGGCCATCCTGCCCCGTATTTGCTGGGTTTGTAAGTGCTGTTGTTTTCACTTGGGAAAGAGGTTGAGTTACTGTTCTCTAGAAAATGTATTTCCAACTGCAGACCTGTTTAGCGCCCTTGATCTGATCCGGCAAATCCGTATCATGATTAGGACTGCTGTTGTCTAGACACATAGGTACCAGAATATTAAGTCCTGCCTATTGGCATGTCTGAATTGGCATCCAGAGGATCATGAGCTTCATATCCTACTGAGGTTGACTCTATCTAATTTAAGTCCCATCGGAGGGGCATGATTACAAGATCAAAATTAATTATTTCTGGATTGTGCCCCATAGTGTTTTTCAGGCTAGCTCTACATGTATCTCCTCAGACGTATTTCCTAATAAGTTCAATGGGATCTTCTCCAAATAAATTTGTTTTAATTTTTACTTTGTTTTAGCCTGATATCCCAGATGGTTATAACCAAAGGAAGGGTAGACAATAGTTAATTGGTTTACCTCATTCCTAAGTTGTGTACTTCTTTTTTTAAGTGTTCTGCTTTTTCTGAACAGACACCTTATTAAATATATCACATAATTCTGAAATGAAACTGCAGACAAAATGTTCTGCTACATCATCACATATAAAATTTTCTTCAAAGGTGCTCCTGATCCAAGAAAATTAAGTTTCACTTCCAGAGCGTTTCATATTTCTGCCTGAAGTGCTAATAGCTTCCATTACTCCCAGTCTCTTAAAATCATGTTAAAATTTAACATGGCAAAAAAAAAAAAAAGCTTGTTAAAAAGTTAGCTTTCTGTGAACCTAAGAGGTTTGCCTTTTCTTCTTGTTGTTGTTGCCTAAACACTAATTGGAGAATTTAGGGCTTTATGAAGCCCTGCCGCCTATTTCCTTCCTTTCCCAAAACAGTAATCATTTCCCCTTCTTCCCTTTCCTCTTTTTCTGTGAACTGGAGATCAAGTTCTCTGAAACAACAAAACACCTCTTTACAGAAGAGCAAGGAGGAAAGATGTTATCAAAGGGGGCAGAGGCTGGGTCCAGCATTAGGCTAAAGCAGGGAGAGAAAGAAGCTGCTAATTCTGCAGCCAATCCAGCCTCCCTGCATCAGAGGCCCTGGCTTGCCTGGGAATTTTTAACTTGTGTACAAAATGAGCAGAAAGCGCAGTACAGTATGTATATTTTGTATATTTGGCATTTTGTAAGAAAATATATATGTATTTATGTTTTTACTTTCTGATTTTGTTTTTCAAAGGCCTGTGCAAGACTCTTATGTACAGAATACAAAAATAAATGGATTTTTAATACGATGCCTTTATTTAAAAGTGGTAGTCTCAATACTGTAATAATGTTCTTTTACCAACCAATTTAAGGTTTCTTAAATCTAAGTAGAATCAAGTTTTGCATTGCTCTAGAGATTTATAGCACATTTATTCTTTCCTTTAAGTAAGTCTTGTTTATTGGCTTGGTCACTAAAAGTAAGTGCTGTTTAACTGAATGGACGTTCTAAATAAGTAAGCATAGAATTCTCCAACCTGGTGTCTCCAAATGTATTAGAATTCCTATCATCTGTGCCCAACGAGGAAGGCAGGTCTAACCACACACTCTTGGAAGAGGCTATCTTGGAATAAGGGATTGGAAAAATGGCTTTATTAGACTAGAACACCCAGAATCACACAGCCACACTCCCTGCGGGGCTATAGATATTGTAGTTTTCTTTTGGGG